CTCTTGCTCTTACTCTTCCTCTTGCTCTTACTCTGACCACTACTAGTACTAGTACTAGTACTACGTAGTACTACTGCTACTGCTACTACTACTATACTACTACTACTACTACTACTACTACTACTTACTAACTAACTACTACTACTACTTACTAACTACTACTACTACTACTACTACTACTACTACTACTACTACTTCTACTTCTACTTCCACCACGACTGGTACGATGCGGGCGACTGCACCTGCTACGTGCTTACTTTCTCGGAAAGCCTAAGGCAGTCTGGGGTTGGATTCTGGGAAAATGGCAGACGAGCGAAGTGCATCAGGTCCGGAATGCCAGGCTCGTTGCGTTCGATGACGTCTCGCCAAGTCGCCAGGCTCCATTGTTTCCAAGCCGAGAAACTTCACAGGGTTCATGTCTAAGCTCCAGCTGGTCCAAAGCGGTGGCGCGCGACAGGGGGAAAGAACACAAAGCGTGTTCCGTTCAAGGTTAGCAGGCGACACGGGCAAAGCTCGATGAAATGGGCTTCGTGGCTCAGATGCAATGCCATCCTTGGGAAGAAGCTGAGGCTTGGTGCAGACTCTGCCGGACTCCGGGATGCATTGAGGCTGAAGCTGCCGGAGTATTCTTGGAGTGCTTGGGCCGTTTTTAGGTCTTGGCTCATGAGATCAGTTTTGGTGGTGGTGCTGGTGGTTTGGAGGGCTTGGCCGCAGATATAGATTCGATCCGAACCTGCTTGGCTCTCCTTTACGACGTTCGTCTTCCTTTGCTTTGGCTCTGTCCTCGATGATGTTCGCTAGTCTATTCGTCAGGATGAAAGTCACTCTTCCGAGACAGCATAGAGGTCCGAGTGGAGGGTTTCTGCATGCCCGAACTTCGAAGCTTGGTCTACGCTTTTTGTGGCCCTTTGAACTCCCCACAACACGTCGAAGTGTAGGTCTTTCACCGGAGATGCCAAGGAGAGGCAAGCCCTGGCTGTCCTCTACGATGACAGGCAATGGAGGCCCAAAGAAGCGAAGAAGATGGCGTTGTCAAAATTAGGGTCCCTTTTTGGGTCCTTATTATATTGCGGCACCTATTGCTTAGGGTACCCCAAAGAAAACCATAATTGTGACAACTACCCAAATCTACGAAAGCATATGGTCGGATCTGGCACAGATGCACGGGTTGGATGTTCCATGTAGCCGGCCGAAGCTGAGCCTCAAAGAGCGCTTTCGTGCTGTTTTTCAAGCGCAACGTTTGGGTTTTCGTATCCTTGTCATGACAACGCCACAGTTGTCCTAGCGGCAGACGGCTTCCCTTCTTGCGATCGTACTGACATCAGCACCAATGCAGCCTTTGCTCTGAGGGTAGCGGGCGAGAGCGAACCTCTAAGCTTCGATTTTGCAGGCTGTGCATGAGCTTGAGGCTTAGCGACGTGCTTCAATGCTTAGGCCCTAGACTCCAAAAGCCGTAAACCCGAAGCTCTTAAACTCCTAAACCAAAAACTCCTCAACCGCAAGCCATACTGTCCAAGCTGCGGGAGTCGAGCTCCTAAACCCTAAACCGACCCCGAGCCTCGAAGCAGCCCACGAGCGACCAGGCGCGTTGCCAAGCGTTTTGGCCTCATGGAGGACGAGAAGGCTGCACCGAGCATTGGGGCATACTGGGGGCTTTTACAAATAGAATAGGTCATTTTCCATAAATTTGTCTGGATCAAATAATTAATAGCTCCTTCGGACCGATAGAGGGAGAGCTCAAGAGGGTTTCACAGCTCTCACCTTTGAGGAAGGTTGGGCTTTGGGTGCAAGGGGCTAATGACGACAGGGCATGGTACATCAATAGCGCGTGGTGTGGTAGAGTCTCTAGCATGGCTTGAGGCATCCACACGATGGCCTCCCCAACGTCTTTTCTTCTTGAGTCCTGCAACAAAGATACCCAAACTCCAACATTGTTAATTTCACTGAGGTTACCGTCTCACGTTCACCTGCTGGCACACACGTTGACCTTCCTGTGGTTTCTCGAGTGACTTGTTGTGGTCATTCGGACTTTGTGCTATGGGTGGCCCTGCCAACCAACCTCGCCCGTATCGTCCCCCCCTCTCAACAAAAAGCATCAGGTCGCATCAGGTTTTGGCGTAGTCGTAAACTTCGGCAATGGGTTATAAGCTGTCAGGAAGGCATTCGCCGGGGCACCTACCGGGGGGTGCTGCCCTTCACATGGCCACTTGCCGAGCACTTGGAGCGAAACAAAGGCCTTCAATTCAAGATTATATGACATGATATATATATATATACACACACACACATATATATATATATATGTGTGTGTGTACATATATATATATATAGGTAGATAGAGTCCTGGCCATTTTGGCAGCTGAGCGAATCGGGTGGCTGGGTGTTAGTACACTGTAAACTTAGAGTAGACCTTACTACAGTATTGCAGTAAGCCTTACTTCGAACAACCATCTACAACCGAAACCCTAGACCCCCACACCCCCGGTTCGAAAAGAGCCATCAACAAAAAAAGGATCCTCAACCTCAAACCCAGAACCTCAGACCCCAAACCCTTAGCCTTAAGAACCCTAAACCCTAAACCCTAAACCCTAAACCCTAAACCCTAAACCCCTAAACCCTAAACCCTAAACCCTAAACCCTAAACCCTAGCTTTCCGAGCCTGGCCTCCTCCAGGAAAGGTCGTTCAACCTTCTTGGTCCGAGACTGGCCAGCTCCCCGACTTCAAAGAATTAGGGCTTTTAGGGTTTAGGGTTTAGGGTTTAGGGGTTTAGGGTTTAGGGTTTAGGGGTTTAGGGTTTAGGGTTGGCCTGGGCAGTAAGGGCAGCAGTCGAGTCCCTTGTGAAAAAGGGTTGGCCCTCAACAAAAATAGAATAGGGTTTGGGGGTATGGTATAGTATGTTATAGTATATTCTAGCGCGCATTATGGCTGTACAGTACGTTTAGGGGTATCGTTAGGGATCAAGTTTGGAACCCGAACATACAGGCCCTGAGACGGAGAGGGGTTCGGAGGGTATAGTATGGTATAGATCCTCGTCTTGAAACAGCTCCATGATATAGAGTCTGGTTTCGGGCGTATTTCAGAGAATCAACAGATATATGTTTGCGAGCAGCATTGTCCGTGTCTTCAAGGGCTGGGTGGGATTATTTGCCCAGGCCCTCAGCCCCCGTAGCTCCAAGAGTGCTGCAGGCAGCTGGTGCAGAATCCGGCAAACTTTGCTTGGAGGTTCATGGGTAGTTATAAGTGGGGTTATAAGTCCCCTAATATGGGTTCTGATTATAGTTACCCTACTTATAACCCTACTTATAACTACCCATGAACCTCCAAGTGGGGATAGGGCAGCAGTCGAAACCGCGGTTGAGTGGCAAAGGCACGAAGCAAACCCATCACGAACCAGGGTTGGATTCAGACGTTGCGAGACTGACTCGGGACAGTGTCAGCGGTGTGGACATAGCTTTCTGTGCCTGTACATCAACGTCAGGATATGCAGAGCTTGAAGAAGTGACGGCCACCCGCATCGTGGCAGTAACATGGTTTCTTTTCCTCATTGGTGTGAGGTGTAAGGGTCAGGTCCAATTTCATAACAGGTCGCGGCCGGTTTTCTGTGCTTCTGCGACTTCTTGTGTGATGGCGTATGCGCATCCCATGGTTAGCCACTCGATTCAGCACTACCTCAAGATCTAGGCCTGCCTTGGCTCACAGGGCATGTCGGTTGCATGGTCCTGGCGGAGTTTGGCAGCATTTGCTTGTTCACCTACGGTCAGGGGTCGGTTCTCCCTGCACTGCTAAGCTTTCGAGCACTGGTGATTCGAGCATCAAATTGTATACTCAGCTAGTAGATACGGGGAGTCGCTGGAACCTGAAGCAACTCTGTAGCCGAGGCCGGGATGCTCAAAGATGGAGCTGTTGCCAGTGAGCCCCAGCTCCTCCCCTCCTGGTCTCTTCGTTTGAGTAGAACCTTGCGACAGAGCTCCAGCCTCGTTCTGTGGCCCTCTTTTACTTCGACGGCGCACTGCCGAGCTCAGTCAAGGGCTCCGAGCTTCGTAGGAAGGCCTGGCCATTTCACGCTGTCCTTCGGTTGAATAGGGCGAAGCAAGCTTGGAAGGAACAGTGTCCAGACGCCTTTGGCGTCCCAGGCATGCACGGCAGAAACTTGCAGTGCACGCTGAGCAAGGTGAAAGATGCGCGCGGGCGCCAGGTCTGGGCAGCACATGCGTCATGCAGCCACTCCAGCATGATCGAACAGCGCGGCATAGTGGATTGTGTACCCTGGGCTTTGTTGAATTTTAAGGGCGGACATCGAGTCTGCCTTCCTCTCATGCGATGTGACAACGAAAACTCAGGCTTCGGCTCCGGGCATACGCGGGGCGCGGGTCGTCAGAAGCACGGAAGCCCTAGGCAGCCGGTCCACTGCTACGAGCGCAGTCCGTGACAATGTTCTGATCAATCCCGGCCATCTAATCTCTGTCTAGCCGAAGCCCTCAACCCTAGCCCTAATACCAAACATCCCGAAGCGCGCGTGATCCTAAACCCACAACTCCCTTCCTCGCTGATCGATGCTATCCTCGCCTCTGGCTGCTTCCTGCGCGGCTTGGCTCCGTGCGCTAGAGGCTGGCATAGTGATCCCGTAGGGTTTGAAACAAGTCCACAAAGCCCCGAAACGGTCGTCTTTCTACGTAGCTTCCAGCGCGACTGGGACGGGGAAGTTCCGGGACAAACCCAACCCCTAAACCCGACCCGAAAAAGCTTCATAAACCCCAAACCAAACCCTCCTTTGATGCGTTGGCAAGGCTCGGGCTGGCGGCCGCTTCCAGGCTGCAGTGCGGAATTGGTGGTTTTTGGGGTTTACGGTTCAGGATTTCCGGTCTCGAGATTAGAGTAGGATTCAGGGGTTGCTTCAGGGTTCGGCCTCCCTGCCCGGATGCTGCAAAGGCCAGCGCATGCAGCACGCTGCACTGCATGGTGGTGAGTAGCCACGTGGGTTTCAGAATCAGTCTCACTTCGCCCAGGCTTCATCCTCGAAGTGCCTCATTTGCAAGGAGTTTTGAAGAGCATTGTATGACTCTGCTTTCTTTCTCCAGTGGAATCTTGCCCCACAGGCTGGTGCTGAGTTTGGGTCCCTGAACTGCTGGTGGGGAAAGCGCCGTGCTCGCCCTGCGCCTCACGAGGGCGTTGACTTCTGCGATTTCCAGGTCCACGCCTTCTGATCTGTCTGGGTTCGGATTTCAGGCTTGGCACAACTGCTTAGATGCCTGCGGAACCCCGAAGTCGAAAGCGGCCCAGAACGCGATTTAAACGAGGCCGTGCTTGCATTTCCCTGAAGTTCTAGCCTGGGACCTTCCCCATTCTACCACCACCGCGACGACTACTGCTACGACTGCTACGACTACAACCATGACAACTACTAGTGTCGCTGTCTTTGCTGCGGATACGTAAATGATCGCGTCGGGAGCCGTTTTGCCATCAGGACTTCAAGTCTGGCACAAAGAGGCCCGGGAAAGAGCAGAGTTCGGTTCACCCGCAGTGTTTGAAACAATCAGGGCAGCTCATGCAAGTTTCGAGTTTAGGGGTCTTGGTGCTTTCATTCATGGCCGCTACCGGCTGGATGTGGACGTCGGATGTGTGCAGGTCCACTTCAACACTCGAAGTTTGTACCCAAGAAGCTGTATGCTAAGGCCCGAAAATCCAAATTCGAAAGCGCTTCCCACAATTTCAGCCAGAACAGGCAGATAAAGCCTGGATGCCCGGTGCCGGCCGTTGCCGATGGCCAGGCGGGGATGGCATAATACTTAATTTAATGCTTCGCAATGTTAACCCTCAATCTATAATCATACCATGATGTACCTCCAAACTCCGTTCTAGTTTTGCAAATACAAAGTGGTGCGAAGGAGAGCAGAGCAGGTAATCCAAGGGGGTGCAGGGAATGCAGCGAGTGAGGGCAATGGCACGACAACAGGGATGCCAGAAAAAGCACTAATTCATAATGCTCTGATTGTTCCGTAGCTCCTTGTTATAACTCTACTCTCATATACCCCACGACGCCATTCTGATTGTATTGAGGCCCTTATGCGTCAGCTTGCACCGGGTTTCATGTTGCAGACTTGATGACCTTAAGGTGTTTGCCAAAGCAGGGTGATCTCGGTTTTTGCGGAGCTTCGTATTTCGAGATGCTTCACAGTCTTAAGTCAGCAGGACCTGGAAGTGTAAGTCGTGGTCTCCAACTCGTGGGAAACCTAAGCTTGTGGTGTGTGCTGAGGTGGTTGCAGTGTTCGAGGACTTCATGGCGCAGACCATAATCATGACACACCAGGACCCCGAGGGCTCAACGAATTCCAGCCTGCACAACCCAAGGGCTGGATTTAGAGAGTAGCTGGAGCCATCAGGCCCCACCGCTAATGAAGTAGTCGCAGTAGTCGGCGGGCCGAAGGGCTCAGAAACTGGAGCCGTTGCGTTGCGCAAGTTTTTGGAGCCCGCCGTGTGTGTGTCGCCTGCATGCGCGCAACCGATGCGACCTTGCACTTCCCTCCCCTGCTTGATCTGCCCGGGCGCTCTTGCCGTCAGCTTCGGCCCAACTCCTTCAACACAGGCTGCGGGGGAACCCGGGAACAGCCTCAGCACTGGGCACGGTTCAGGTAATTAGGGCATTCGCACAGTTATGAATCCTTGTTCGATCTGTTGGTGCATCACTCCACCCTACTTAATGAGGTGGTGAGATCACTGCAGATTTCCATGCACTTTCCATCGGTGAGGACGTTGCTCATGGGAAAATATGTCGTGCATGGGTGTCTGTTATCATCGCCTCGTACTTGCCTGGAACTATCCCCAATTGCTCCTCAGCAAGAAAGTTGTATAGCCAAGTCCGGCCTGCACCGCCAACAGCAGCCACGTCAGATTCTGAATGGTTTCGGCGACAGGTGGAGCCTGTACACGGCTTTGCCGCTTGGGTTTGGGATAGTTGTATCCTCAATTCTGGCCTCCCGCATCCGTGTCTAACGTTAGTGTGCTTTGTGTGCCTGGTTTTGCTGTGGCCTGGTTGGTCACCAGAGGAGTCAGCCGAGTCAAGGCTCGGACGAAACAGATAGAACATTCTAGCTTTGTGCTTGAGAAGTGAGAGTTGCTGTGGCTGGCAGGGCATCTGGAGTTGCATACGCCCCCTCGCTGTGCGGATGGTTCTTTGGTGGGAGGTGAATGTGAGGGTGCGCTTCATGAATTAGCTCCGCCCCGATTCACTCCGCACAAAGCTTCCAAAAGCCTCATGGCACCCAGCCAAACTCCACACATGCACGAACTCTTGCCAAGGTTTCAAGTAAAAAGTCCCGAACACTCAAACCGGAAGTAACAGGAGCATTTGGATGGGCGGCAGCTGGCCACCCTGCTGGCACATGTGATGCCAGTTCCGGGTCTTGCTCCAGGACCCTCCGGGCTCTTGGGACGGGACTTTCTGCCCAGAACTGAAGCTTCGACACATTATACTATACCGGGAGCATCTTTCAGGCTACATGTCGTAAAGATATCCCAAGCTATGTCTGCAGTGGCTAACGCAGGTCAACGGTGCAGCCCTGACATGGAAGTAGCTGCTGTGGCGGCTTCCAGGATGCTTGTCGCAAAGGATCAATGCCCCTCAATGCTCAAATTCGCTCTCCCGTAAGCTTGCATTCGATCATGCTCAGTGTGAACAGGTTCCAATGTTTGAGTTGAATAGGTTAAACGAGCGATGCCCACCAAGCAGCAACCCCATTAGCAAGCAGCTCTCTGCGCCAATCACGACACGAACATGCAGCATGGTCATTTGCAAGTTTCGGACTGACATTAGGGTTGCAGTGGCCCTGTTCTCAGCGTGAGCGGCTGCAATCGGATCGCTGGGGAGTTTGCTAAGATTTTACCCACAAACACAACCTCGCGAGACATGGCCACGGACGCACTTACCGTAAGACCTTTCCTGCTTGTTTGCTTGGTTCCTTGTCCGCATGAAGCTGCTTTTGATGCATGCCTGCGCGCGCAGGCAGGGTCAGCAACCCATTTTGCTCCGTACACAGCCTCGGCGATGCTTTGCGAGATTGTGAGGGTAATGCACAAGCTCATCCATGCGTGAGCACGCGGGCGAAGCCAAACACAAACACATCCACACACGTGCGTCTGTGCCTGCATGGGCGCAGACGCGCGGGCACTGACGCGCGGGCACTGATTCACTCCCTGACGCTCTTAGGCAGGACAAGAGGGACCCCCCCCGGAACTCACAGGTGGGTAGGCCTACCGGCACGCAAGCTCCTGTGCAAACAGCAGCAGTCGGTAAAAAGTTTGAGAAGCAAAGAGTGGCTTGCCGCGGGGCACCCCCAATCCAGACAATCTAATGCGATGCCTATTTTGATCGAAGTCTTCATTGCCCTTAGCAACCTGTGGTGTTGGTCTTGAGTCATTGAGATGCTAAGCAGGGGGCCTGCTCAACCTCTTGTACAGTCAAACTGATTGCGTCCCTGGTGAGCAGCGAAAGTACAACTCTAAACTGGCTGATCCTGCAAACAGCACCTTGAAGCCGTTCTTCTTTGGTTCCCCAATGTGGCATGGCTTCTGAGGACTACCGCCCCGGCCCATGTGCATCTGTCAGTGCTGGCAGCACCACCTGGATTCGCCTGGGCATCCTTGCAGGGCTGGCCGGACCCCACTGGGGGGTTGGCTTGGAAGCATCCAGTTGCAAGTGAACAATATGGGGGCCTTAATAATAGAATAGGGTTGTGGGGCCCATTATACTATAAGTATCCTATAACTAAAATAAGGACCCCCCCCCCAACATAGTATAGGTAGTTATTAAGACCCCTACATCAGAGAAGTTGTGCATCGATTGCACAGGGATGGTGTAGGCTGCTGTCGCCATGCACAGAACTGGTTTGTGAAACATATCCCGGGACGGGGCTCGGGGCTCCCGCGTTTGCGCAGTGCATATTTGGAGCTCGATCCGCTGGAAACTATCTCCTTGAGTGCCAACTTGATTGTAAATGCATGGGCCACTTTTGTTTTGCAAAACTCTGAGTCCCGCTGGACTTGAAGCCGCCTGAAGTTGAGGAAAGCATGTTGCCATGCTTACGGGAAGCATGTTGGGGCTGCTCCTGAATCCCGCCTGCTCTTGACGGAGGTAGTTTGGGCCTGGTGTCCTGGGTCTCCTGGTGGTTTCCTTCTTGGAGGTTCATGGGTAGTTATAAGTGGGGTTATAAGTCCCCTAATATGGGTTATAATTATAGTTACCCTACTCGTACTTATAACCCTACTTATAACTAGCCATGAACCTCCAAGTGGTGGTCTTTTCGGGACTCTTGGTGGTTTGCCGGTTGTGTCCGTTCGCACCCGCCACCTCTTCGGACCAACTCAATTGGACCCACCCAATCAATGTAGCCACTGGAAAGCCTATAGGAAGAAGGATACCCAAGAACCAGCTTTATGGTGTAAGGGCTGCGGAGCGTGCGATGTTGTTGCCATGTTCATTCAAATGCCACCACCCCAGAATCGGTCTTTCTCCCCTCAATGCCTTGTCTCCTTCAGCATATCAAGTTAATCTAGCTGCGACCTCTCTCTTTCGTGTTAAAAGCTGCAGTCACGCAGTTCGGTGACTATCGGCGACGGCAGTAAGACGCAACTGCCACCGGTCGCGACCTCAACATCTTCATCGAGAGTCAGGAGCTTCCGCTTAATAATTCGTTGCCTCGTTTGAGTGTCCATATGGGGGTTTCCGAAAATAGGGGACCCTAATATAGTACCCCAAATAATAGGATCCTGATGAAAAGGACCCCAAAATAAGGTACCCCTAATGTTCGGAAACTCCCACATGGTGCCGCAGGCTGCAAGTTGAGAACGATTGATGCACATCAGACGTGCCGCCTCCACAACGCATGGAGTCTCAAAGACAGACTTAGGCTTCTAGTTTGCCCACAGCAGCCATGGCCGAGCCAGATGATGCAATCGAGCTGCGTATGCTTCAACCATCAGGCGACTGCACCCCCTTGGTCGTCCAGCGGAAACACACTGTGTCTCAGGTAATCAACTCGGTCAAGCAGGTCATGCCTGCGGCGGAGGGTCAGATTGTGGAGTTGCTCTACAACACGACACGTCTCCAGCAAGCTGACACCGTTTTACAGTGTGGCCTCAGCGAGGGTGATGCGATTACCGTCGTTCTCCGCAAACCTGAAATCCTGATCTCGCCGATAAATGGCGTTATGCCCAAATGAAGGCAGAGAGGTGGAGCCCGCTGGAGTCTTGATTGAATGAGGCAAAGACTGCCCGAGGTGCAAGCACATACAGATGGCGACGGGAATGTCTGCATGGCATAGACAGTACAGGTCTTGTGTTTTTGGGCTTGTTTGGAGTTTCGTAAGAATGCAGATCCTGCCTGAACCCATGATGCAACCTTGCAGAATGGATTTTCAGGCATCTCAAAACGTAGGCTTTGTAAATCGGACACTCCGTGCGCCAGAACTTGCAGAAACGGCGTGGTCCGAGCAGTGCGATTCGCCACCCCCCACCTAAACCCGTTCCTAGCTTGTGCGCGCGAAGGAGTTGCTGAACGAGCCCCGCCGCACTGAGTACTACGAAGACCTCTACCACTACACTCACTACACGCGCCTGGGGTTCTTTTTGTGTATCGCGGTCTTTTACAACTCATGAAAACCGAAATGGAGCCAAGCCCGGAAGCACCATCAAAGAATGGGCAAGCCATAGGCAAGACCCATATATAACAAAAGTCGAAAGACGACAACAATACCAGCGGCAGCAACAACAACTACAACTCTGGAGACACCTCCACCACCACCACCAACAACAACAACACCAACAGCACCAACAAGAACAATAACAAGAACACTAACAAGAATAACAGCAGCAACAGCAACAGCAGCAGCAGCAGCAGCAGCAGCAGCAGCAGCAGCAGCAAGAAGAAGAAGAATAACAACAACAGCAACATTAGCAGCAAGAACAACAACAGCAACAACGACCGCAACAGCAACAGCAACAGCAACAATAACAATTACACTTGCAACAACAACAACAACAACCACAGCCACAACCACAACCACAACCACAAGAGCAACACCAACAACATCACCACCATTACCACTACCAACAACAACAACAGTAACAACAACACCAACAGCAGCAACAATACCAACAGCAACAACTGCCACAATCACAGCCACAATTACAACTACAACGACAGCAACAGCAACAGCAAGACGTTCACACACTTTTCAGAACGCGGTGCAGAAGCTTGAAGCTTTGAAGGGTAGATCTCAGTTTTTGTGCAGTTTGGTCGCTAAATGTTGGAAAGTCACATCCTCACATATTCCACAATGTCCTCAGTTGTCGTGATCGCGTACTCCTTCCAACCTGTCAAACCTATCAGCAACAAATCAAAGCATTCGCTCACTGTTCCCTGTACTATACGTTTCCTTACTGCTGGTGCAGCCGTCAAGCCTTCCAGTAACATTTTCGATATCTTATTCTACAATTTCCTTCACAACTTGTTCTGCATGTGAATTTGAAGTGACTTTGTGAACAACTACGTATAGCCAAGAGGTACAAGTTTGTTATGCCTTTTGGCACTCTGCTTTGAATGAGTTTGTTCTATTATGCAAGATCTCCTTACCACTTCTCTCTTCCCATGCACGTATCGCATGTCTCGTAGTCGCACATGCGACTACATATTGAGTCCTTGAGATCCATACCTGTATAACAACTCTAAACGCAAATGCTGCCCATCATTACTTTCGATTTTCAGGCAACCCTGACCTAGTTTATCTCCAGTCCTGTGAACAACAACAACAACATTGTGTGACGAGGTGGCCGGCTCGTCTTTTTAACTTGATCGTCGTGTCTTAAATACCTGAACATCATCTCCCACTTCTTCAGGATACACACGATTCTCCTTTCCCTTCACCGTTGAATTCAACTTCTTTTTCAACAGATTGCTATGTTGCTGGGCATCTTTTGGCGTCAATCCCGTTGCCGAGTGGTTCCTTAGCTAAATAGGGGCTAATAGTGTACCTCTATGTTCTGTGCTCCTTCAATCTTCATTTGCATCAACCCTCCTGTATAACATGTCCTTAAACATCATCAAACCCTCCTCGCTCATACTGTTCTCTTCTATGTGTTCCTTAATTCTCTTTCTTGGGTTGGGCTCCAAACTTGCTTCGCGCTTCCTTTCTCGGACCCCAACAGAACGTACATGGCCTACATATACCACATGGGATGTACACATGCAACAAGTACTATAGGAAGTATTCCGGGTAGAAGCAATAAGTGCGAAGTAGGGACACATCCACATGTAGTTAGTATTTGAAGGTGGGGAACACGAAGTTCAATATGTCAATCACGGGTTCCTAAACCTTTAGTACATCGGGGCCTGTGATTCTGATGAAACCCTAAACCCTAAACCCACAGGACCATGCACACCTGTTGTTGAGCACAGCTCCGACGGGGAGTTGCTTAAGCTGCGAAGGGGTATTTTGGGGTCTATTATGTACGGTCATTGTGGGGTTAGGAATGCAGCAAGCAACAGCCTCAGCCAACTTGGCGTTCGACCTAACTAACCAGGCAGGTGGAA